TGTGTATGATAAAGTGTTTTTAATGCAGTGTTACTGGTTATCAGTACACCTGTATATCTGCATACACACACACATACATGCACAAAAGCGCACACATGGACATCCGAATTACACTGGTAGCAAAAGAAAGAGAACAAATTAGACGAAAATATTTTATACTTCGATATATTTTACGTCTTTTTCCTTGTCTTAATTAGGAGACGAACTTAATCATGGTGTGTCTATTCAAATCATTTCTATGTGCACAGAAGGATCTTTTTTAAAAATAAATAAATAAAAATTGTAGGGAGAAGAGGAAAAAAGAGATTTCAGAAGAAATATTCTCTGCATCAATTTTCCTCCTCGGTGTTAGTCTCCCTCTGAAAATAGATGGTAGGGTGAGGATGGAGGGCGGGTGTGTGTGTGTGTGTGGCTGAAGTGGTTAATAAAATGAGATGTGTAGTTAAGTTGGGGGGAGATAGGCCACCAAAATACATTTATATCACTCTCGATGTAAAATACGTTGAATTCGATTTTTTTCCGGCAATTAGTAATAGTCTGTCTTATTTGTTGTTATTTTGAAAGTGTGCTGAGTGATGGTGATTCACTCACTTGGATATCTGCCAATCTGTCTGCCTGTATTCGGATATCATCATCTATTGTTATAGAGGTGTTCAACAGTGTTGTTGGTTACTTGATTGGTCAAGGTAGACTGAATACTAAGACAGAGAGAGACATTTCAAGATGTGAATTAGTGGATAAATAAATAAATAAATATTTTCTCCTCATTTTAAGCTATGAAATATTTTTCTGTGAACAACTGAAAGATGTGTTGGTTGAGCGAGTTAACTTGACGTATTGTTTACATTTATTTCATTTGGCATTGTTTGTGACTATTCATCATTGAGTGTTTACATGTAGACAGGATAGAGTTAGGTTGACTGTTGTTTTTGTTGTGCTCTTTTCTGCATTTCTTACCATCTTCGTGAAGGGTATTTCAATTATGCCCAACATCTTCCACCCACCTCATTACATCGTGCTGTGTATATACTGTCAGGTTCTGTCTATAGTCCTTTTCTCCTTTGTTCATTTACAATGCTCGATCGAACAGCTTTTATTCACTCAGTGCTCATATTGATTTCTTATATTTGTATCCCTCCTCTTCCTTTTTTTCCGAGACGTCTTCATCGTCAAGTGTTGTGTGACTCGAGTACAGGTTGTCCACTTGTACTGCTGATAAGAACAACAACAAGTGACAACAGAAATAGGCAAACAGACAAACAACAAGATGACAGTGTGCAAATCATACTGACACAAACATGTAGTCACTCGCTTTCACAATATTGGCAAAGAAGAAGAAAGGGAGGTGTAGGTGTGAGGAGGCACCACTGAACTGACAGATGTTCAGTGTCAGAACAGCAGCAGTAATACTAGTAGGCAGTGGTAGCATTCGTTGTAGTAGAAGTAGCAGGGTCAGTGTATATGCGCTAATTGTTTTATTTTGCCAACTTGTCATGAAATTCTTTCCTCCCTATCACACATGTCAAATTTGATTAAATATAGTGGTCATAGTTATTCTGGCGCGTACACACACACACGCTTATTGGGGACACAAACAGGTGAACAGGTAAACAAGGTGACACGAAAGAGACTTCACTTTATTTTCCTTCGGTTATTTTTCTCTAGTTGACATACAGCTGGACACCACTTATAGACTTTGTTATTCATGAGATGAATACTACAAATTAAGTGCGCAAGATGCAACTCGGTAATTATGAAGAGCAGTAATATTTTTTAGTCACTGGAGTACAGGCAATATCACTCTGTGACGGAACCTGTAATGATCAAGTGTACAATATGACCACCGACATATTATTATTATTTTTCCCTTGGGTTCCTAGTGGAACATAGGGCTTCAGTAGCACACCTCCATTGCACTCTCTTCTCTCCAGTCTTTTCAACCTGTCGCTACGACTGCCAACAGACTTTCATTTCTTCCTCACATGATCTCCTCCATGTCACCCTAGCCTCAGACGCCCAACTCGTCGTTTCCCCTTTGGATTCCACTCGAGCGACTGGCCTAGTGCGTGATGTCCCCAGTCGGCCTTCTCAGTGTATGCCCAATCCATCTCGACTTTCTCCTACATATTTGTTGGGCAATAGGTTCTTGGTTGATTCGTTGCCAGAGTGAGTTCCTTGTTGCTTATTCTGATTATTCTGGCCATCTGATCTTCAGTGTCAGTATCGAGTTAGTGAAGGTGACAGCTGTTGATGAATGTCTGTAGTTTGTTGGAAGTGCTTTTCGTGACTTGCCAAGTTTCTGAACCATATAGGAGCACTGACTTGACTGAATTGGTGTTGAAAATCCGGATGTTGTTTTTTGTGCTGAGTGAAGATTCCAAGCACTTCCCTGCCATACCTCCTCATCTCTTGACCGCCGACATAAATGTCACAATATTGCAGTACACTGTGACTGGAAGTGATTGATGACAAGTTGTACGTAAACACTAAATTACATATCTGTGGGTAACTATCAGCGATTGGAACTTGCCTCGCTCAATGCGATCTAAGTCACGATTTAATCCCTTTTATGACTAGATGTAGACAGATAGAGCGATCAATCTACACTTAGTCGTGGGATTCTGAACACTTAAGTCATTGAACTATAGTTACATTTTAGTGAAACATGCCTTGGATTTATTTTCTATATTATGATGAGGATCTGAAGTGATAACTTACGCAAGTCAAATGTAGAGTTGCAGTCCCTTGGATCAAATCTCTCATCTCTAGTCTCAGGATCTCTGATGAAACTTCATTCGATTTGCTTTTACTTAGGAATTTGATGATGCTGTGAGTAGGTAGTGCCATTGTTATTGTAGGTAGTTTTCATCTGTTTATCACTGTTACGCCTAAAATTAGTGATATTAACATCAATAGACTTAGGACTTTCAACCAACTTCTATCTAACCCAGGTTGTATAGTTTGTCAACATCAGGTATATTCACCCTTCTTTGCACTTTTATAAGGATTTAATCGAGAGGACAGGACTAGGCAACGACAAACATATATTTCTATCGGTACAGATTATAAAGGCAATGTGCCTACCATTTCCATGCTGTACAACTTGTATATTCTGTTGTCCATATGTTCTTGATAGGTTGAAGGGACTACAGAACACAGTCACACAGTCATACAAATCCTTCCTTCACTACTTCATTCTCTCTCTTACATGACAGCCTTTCTGGTAAACTGACTCTTATTTTGTTTAGTTAATTGATCACTGGTGTGTTGTTATGTATGGCCTAATGTAAGTGAATAACAATATTGATAAGGATTTTTCATTTTCAAAAAAAATAATTGAGAAACGAATAAGAATGGTTACTTGTTTAATTATTGATCTGATGTATCATCAAAACCATCTACTATGCTTCCCTCTCCTTCTCCTCTCTTCGTACATTATGGACGTATTTGTGTTTAGGTTATTAGGTCAAAGTAAGTTAATTCTATTCACATTTCCGATTGATAGTTTTGTCCAATAAGTTATAGTTGTTTCGGCTGCAGCTTTGCTAAACACCTGTAGTTTGACCATAGTTGAGACGAAATTCCGTGTCATTGCAAAAGTGGGACCAACGGCCTGCGGATTACCTGCCTTCCAGTCTTACATCAGAGTTATGCAAACCAGCTTTTCGTTTAAATTTTAATCACCAACCTATTATGATTATTTGGCGAAAAAATAATGTTCAATATTCGGACTTGAGCTTCTGATTTGCCAAAGCTTCTGTTGTGTTAAGGTGGCAAATAATCACTCCCTTAGAAAATTTTTGATTCCACTTTATAAATGACTCTGGAGGAAGATTCTGGTCGAGCAGAGTGACTGAGTTAACCAAATACTCAAGAATGGAGCCGTTAATAGTTTTACACTCTCCTTTAGACAACCATACAGAATAGTCTTTGGAGATGCATCTGGATAGAACACGCTTTTTGTGGCCCATGTAACCAGCTCTACAAGAGCAGGTGGTTTGGTAGACAAAAATGGAGCTCCAAAGCGGTAGTTTAGTCTTTATACACCTTGGAATCAGTTGTTGACTGGAGAAAACACTCCAAAGTTGGACGAAAAAGAAAGTCTTCTTCAGTGCTTTACATAATCGATTCTTGAGTATCTCCCTTGAATCCAATACTCATAAATAGTGTCTTGTTTGGAAACATAGGCTTTCCTTCTTAGAAATGTCTTAGACCTTATGTTCCTCTCAATGAAACGTGGAGGATAACCATTGTCGATGAACACTTTTCGAAATACTTCTCATTCAGAGCTTTACACCACATTTACTACTTCTGGAAAAATGGTAGGAAATGCACTATGTTTTACGCCAAAAGATTTCATCTTCACAGACTACATTCATTTATTGCCAGGTAGCATCGTTCACAAACCTGACCCATGTATCATGATACAATTAGGGGCGATCAAATTATGAGTTGGGTTTTAAACACATTCGAGTACTAGTTATTATACATTAGGTTCCTCTAGTCGTTACTTGTAATTGTTCTAGATATTGCTTTCGGAAGAGTTTTTCATCATATATTGAGGGGTCACAGACCTCACGACCGTGCACACTAATGCAACATATCTTTCTAAATACCACAAGAAGATGGTTCAGTAAACAGGAGTTTTAATGTAACACATCTGGTAATTAAAACTGTTGCAGTCTTTAGTTAAAGAAAACATTATCCTGCCTTTATCCCACTGAAATGTTATTCGGCGTAGGGGGGGGGGGGCTGTTTTCCATTGGCGTAGAGATTCAACTTCCAACCAGCAGTTCCAAAGTTCGAACTCCGTGCCACCTATGAAGTTAAGGCGAGCCAGGTAGTATCTTTGATGTCTACCTGATAGGTATATGGTTCATAACCGAATTTGCGAACCTGTACTTGAGCGTATTGTACACTTTTCTTTTACTAAATTTGAATATTTCAATCACTGTACCATTTTTATTCTTTTTCACTAAAAAAAATTATTGTTTTCGCAGTTATTCGTCGTGGTCCAGGTCAAGATCCACAATGTGCAGATCCTCTAATCAATTCAATTGATGCATTTCCTGATACTTCATTTTCTTCTAGCAGTGTTTGGAAGAATGCGACTGATTTTCAGCCCTTCAGAGCTAGGTAAGTTGTGCTTTTTATAATTGTATCTATGAAAATAAAACTGTAGGAGTACTTGATTATCGAACTGGTGTAGTCGATTTATATTTCCTTCTCGTTAGTTATGCAGGATAAAGTTCGGTTATGCCTTATGCATTGTGTGATATACATAAGCAGCTCCTCAGCAGTAAGTATACTGGTAAAGAGATATCGGAATGATGCAAAATAGCGGCTTCTTCTCACCATGCACAGATGAATCGGATATCCATCATATATGGCAATCGAAAGCTCTGCAAAAGAAAGACTGTCTTTCCCTGTGGTTTTCAGCGTCGCTATAGAAGTATCTCCATTCAAATCGATACTGACAAACAAAGTTTTCTGTGGAATTTTAGAGTCGTTCCCTATAATTGTATGCTTGTCTATTATTTCACAATGAACCCGAAACGATATTCATTCTGTGTAAGTACTTGTCGAAGTCTTCTGAGTTCATCATCATCTATATCATAGATGCAGGTCCTTGTGATTCTTGGTGATCAACATCTAAGATGCTAAGAGATTTTGTAACGATTTTTGTCAACTTATCACATTGAACAACACAGAGAGTGGCATTGACCGACATTCTCTCAGTGTAGCTGATTGTATAGAAAGAGTGAGTTTTATAGATGAATACCGAAAAGGATCAATGAAACTTGGACTTGGTGCCAGTCGACGGTATCGAATCAGTGGAGAATATTTTACGCAGTGTAGAAACTTCACCATGCGTAACTCGTCACTATCTACGGATGATCGCCCTCCCGGTCAAACACAGGACAATAGGGCTTCAGAGGTGTATCTCTGTAGATACCTAATGAGCTATTGAGCCGGATTCTTGTGTAATTCATTTTGAGTCACTGTCAATCCATGATAAATCAGTGTCACATGGTTTGACGAATAAGGCTTATAAGATTGTATGTCCTCTTAGTGTAGGTGTATACTATCTTCATGGATCGATCACTGAATGGGATGGTAAACAACATTGTATCGTCTTGTCCTAAGTGTTGACTGAATTTCATTGATCAGATGTAGAATCTAGCCTCCATGTTTAGTGACTTGGTATCATAGTGTACTCGATTCGAAGTAAGAAACTGGTGAAAAGTATGTGCCGCTGATGGGGGCTAACGAGTGTGGAACATTGACCGAAGACCACCCATGGCGTCTTGAATTTGGCCACTGAGCTAAGTGATGCAACACAACGTTGCACTGTAGTGTGGTGTTAGATGCTGGCCACCTGCCAACGTAATGTCGCTTAACTTCTCTTATTGGTCACATTGCGAACCTGATCGATAGATTTTGCATCAGTTCTAAGCATTAAGGATTACGTAGCTACATGAGTTACCCATTAGTGACCAACAGTTTTACAGAGGGTCAGTCTTGGCCTAAGTAGCTTAATGGCCAATTCTTTGGGTAACTCAAGTTTAAATCACTAAGAGGAAACCAGTCTCTTCAGGGTTGCAGACACGTGTTGCTGATGAGTACCAAAAAGCACGAAACTTAAGTTGAGCAGGGCTTCCTGTCGATTGACTCCTACCATTTAACACCAAAATACGATGCACTGCTGTTTTATTGTGTCACTTCGCTTAGTGGGCATATTGCAAAATCTGATTGGTAAACTTCCATCAGTGCTCTAACCACTAAAGACTAGACATCTACATCCGTTATTCACTGGTGGTTAATTCATGTCCTGTATGCCTCTCTCATATTTTATTCAAAAGAACGTATGTATTAATCTTAATTCTTGAAAATCAACTTTGTAGATTTTATTTTATGCTAAAATTATATTATCACATGGTGAAGGAATGACTTCATCTTGTTGTCCTTAAAGTAAACCATTAATTATTGGGTTCTTTTTTTAATAGTGAGGACATTTATAATTATACAGGTTCTTTCAATTCCCTCTTTGGTTATACACGTCATATTCGTAAACTTATTCAGGAAAAATAGGTATTCGGATAAATTGAAATGTCATGTACAAATGATAAATTGGATAATATACCATATTTACGTGTACTTTAAAACACCTAAATTGCTAATACTGATTTGCATATTTTGACAAAGAATTAGGGCGAAATGAGGGAAAGAGTACACTTTTTTTGGTAATGCGTCGCATTCCGTTCTGTCCTGTTGTACGAGTGTGAAATATGGCTGCTAGAAGTGCAGGATATGATCACACATGTCTTCGTAGCATTGCTGATGCTTGATGGAATCACCGTGTGAGCAATTTTGAGATCAGACGAAGGATACTAGACAAGATAGACCACTCAATTGATGAGGTTATGAACCTTAATCAACTGAGATGACTTGTATATGTACTGGGCATATCGAGCCACCGCCTACTCCGACGTGTCATGCTAGTGGGAGTTGGATTAGGTTGGAAGAGGGATCAGGGTAACCAAACCAAGAAGTAGCACTAGTCGACCAAGTCCCTGACTGTTGGTCTGAGTCATGTGGGGAGATGTAGACTAGCTGGTTGGGGTCTCTGAAATGAAAGGAAGGAATGGTTAAGTGACATGGCTGAAAATCGGTCACAATGGCTCAAATGTATTCACTCCTTGACGTCTTCTAAAGCCTGAATATTTGCAGTAACCTTTATCTTCAGATTGCTTATTTTTCACACTACTTTATCTTCTTCGATATCACCTTTTTCCCCACCTGTTCTTTGTATACTACTGTGAAGTGTAGCAACTTGAGTCGATCCGCCTATGTGCGAGGTTCTACATTGATTTTGTCAGTGTCACACCTTTGTGAATAGTATTCATCTACTTCCCTGTACACACACAATGGGAAAGAACTGAGACCATTTTGATGACTGTTATAGATAATTCTTTCTATCTTTAATAAGGTTGCATAAAATAATCTTCTAGTTTCTTGGTAGATACTTTATGTTTCAACTAATAGTTGAAGACGTGTAAATTTACCGGGGTTCAAAGACATTCATCAGAATTTAAGGTCATTTTTGCATCGTTCAGGCACTAAGCGATCTCCGTTATTACGAGGTCTTAAATACTATATGTGACACTATTTGACAGTGAGAATCCATTAACGTGTCATGTATGATCTCATGACTTTTAGGCATTACAGCAATAGCCTTTAACCTCTGCCAGTGCTTTTGACCAATCTTTCCTTATTAACGAAATGGCTCTGAATTAATTTATAGTTCATTAATTAACATTACATTCAATATCGTTTATTGAGTGGATCTGTTCTCTATAAATTGATAAGGGTTGGAAAATTGTTAGGATAAGGAGGACTGACTAGCCTGTCAAACTTGAATGTCTAGCGAAGTCTATCGATCCACTTTGTAATGCGATTAATCAGCTAAGTGACAAGATAATGATATCCGTTGTGTTTAGTGCTAACTGATAGGAATCATTCAATAGGAAATCCTGACTAGTCTTGTCGGCATTTTTCAGTCAGGAATTCCTGAAGCCTTCAAGAAATTCATATTTTCTTGAAGATTGGAATTTGTATTACCTGATATTGAAGTTAGGGTCTCTATCGCCAAGGTATTTATGGCGTGACAGACCTCCTGTCAGATTGGGTTATGCAAATGAATTGGTCACCAAACGATATTCGATAGAGTTGTTAATAAAGTAGTGATATACACTGTTGAACTCATTCGACATTGGACTGATAATCTGATTACGTCAAGTTGTGCTCTGTATGTTAACTAGCATACACCTACACAATATATTTATATATCCTCGCATAATTTGAGGGTGTTGTTTTATACATTTATAACGGAATAGATAGATAACTAATGATTTTGAAGTCTGTTGAAGATTGGTGAAGGTACAGCCAACAGGTCGTTAGTTCTTATATGCTACAGTTCTTAGTACTAACGAGACTCTTATTTTCACTTGAAACTTAAACCTGCCTAAATCAAAGTTGCACTGAAATTTCGTTTGCACGGCTTCTATGAATATGAGTCGGTTATACTGTGTAACTGATTTATTTGCAGAAACCAGTGTTTTGATGACAACGACTAGTCTATTGTAATGGCCGAGCATGAGGCCAAGACTCAACATCGTGTCTGAATCGCCTCCACTGGTATAATATGAGCTAACGTTCATCTTCCTGTTGACGTAGTTCGCCTATGAGCTGTTTATTTAGTCAATGTAGATCAGCATCGCAGATTGGAGTACAATGATTATGAGATGACTGTCGTCGTCGACCGCATCAGAAAATACTGTTTGGATGCGGGTATGATCTTCAAACTATTGGAAACTACACGAAGAGAGTTCGTCAATCGTAGCCGCTTTGCTGATTTCAGTAAAGCACATATAGCAACAAAGTACCTCTTTTGACTCAGCAGCAGTCAAATATTCACTAATATAGAGATCTTATGCTTGACTGATGAAAAGTGTTTAGGTTAGAGACAAGTTCTGTTGCCTAACAGAATGCGGATACACCTATTTATGAGAAGGATAATCAGCAAAAATGAGCTTTTCGATTCATATTAGTGGAAAAAATATCAGATAGTCCCAGTGATTAATCGTTTGGAAATTATCAATCGTATGCGGTCCACTTCTTTTATTGCTCAATAATTTTTCAGTGAAGGTTTCACTGGAAACTGAAAAAGTAAAGTTTTCGAGATCATGTTCATTCTATTAAGGCTGTAGGGAATAATAAGGGTAATGTACAATTTTTAAGGTGGAATTCATCATTGACTGATACCAGTTGGAGAACCGTTGAAAAACCGGGAGCTCTGGACAGCTGTTTCATCCTAATATGGGACTCCTAGGCAGTACACACCCATACCCGCACCTTCAGTTCTTGCTGGGAACTCATCAAGCATTCAGCCACCTGGTCGAGTTTTAATGGTCTACAGTTCCCAACTTCTGTCAATTCGCGATATAGCATGACTATCCACCAAAGTTTTCACTTGGCATTCGCTTCATATTCTATTGGCTGATCCCACAAAGTCACAGTTTCTCACTCGAACTGCAGGACATCCATCAAGGAACAAGTCACAAATGGGTACTTTA